AAAAAGTTGTTGGGGCCACACTTAAATTAGGGTAGCAAGGAGATTTTGGCCCATTCATTATAATTACAAATGAGATTTTGGCTCTTCCCTAGATACCCCTTGTTTGGCAAGAAAGTCAGTGAAAGCATTTGCCGGCCTACCGACCCATTGGACTCTTGTCATTTGTCTTGTCAACCATTTTATTTTTTTTCATAGGATCCCTATAGGTCCAAGTAATTGAATCAAGGTTCAACAACCAACCCACACCCACAATCACCTTAGAGTCCTCTTCAATCAGTAATTTCTCTATCCCAAGTTGGTTGGCAATCTGAATTCCTTGTACAACATCCAACGGCTCAGCCCTTGTTGAATCACCTACTCCCACTGGGCCTGAAAACGGTGATACGATATTACTCTCCTCAGTCCTCAAGACTCCAATACCTGATAGTCTTGGATTGCCTTGGCTGCTCCCATCAAAATTCAGTTTAATAAAATCTTCTGGAGGAGGTACCCAAATTGCTGCAGATTTATTTTTCTTAGAAGACATGTTAGCTATTACAGCCCAGCTTCTCCAAAAGTCAGCAAAGGAAAAAAGAGTAAGTCTAGGGTTCTTAGACAGTGTATAGCTCTAGTTAATATACCTCATTGCTGTAAAAGTTCTCTCCTTTCAAGAAAGGTTCTAGAATTCCTTTCTTACCAAATAGTCCACAGCGTGGCTGCTCTAAGGCATCTCCACATGCATTTTCCTTTTTTGTTGGCCAAGCAACGGTAGACGAGCTAAACAACAATTTTACTTCTGATGGCAGAATCCACCTGTAACCAAACAAATCAGAAATCCAATCCCACAGAGCTGCAACAAAGGGGCAGGAAATCAGTATGTGGTAGCCGTCCTCACTATGGGTTTTGCACAATATACACCAGTTTGGGGATAGACACAAAAAAGGCCTTTTCTTTTATAAGTTTTCCAAAGTATTAATCTTAACATGATACACCTCCCAACAAAAGACAGCTATTTTAGGGGGAATAGGCTTGGCCCAAACTTCTCGCACAGGGAGACCTAGGCACAACATTAGAACACAGGTACTTGAAAAAAAGAAGCACAAGTAAAAGAACCCTGGGAAGTAGGGGCCCATACTCTCTTATCAAAAGAAGAAGGGCCTAAACAAACATTGCCAAGAGAAGAAAGCAACTTTGTGACACAAAGAAGTTCAGCCTCCCGCAGACCTCATATTATCAATATTATTAAAAACTTTTCAATATTTTGTTAAAATCATCATATTTTTCAAAAATATTTTCCTAAAAAACTAGCAGGGAATTGTTGATTGGATAATTGGCTTACTACATTTATATGATTCACTTACTAAGTCATTATAATTCAAAAGGAAAAGAAAAATGCATAACTAGAAAAGAGTATTCTCAATCTAATCAAAACATATATCAACAATAAAGATGTAAGTTAAAATGGAAAATAATTGACACATATAAGGAACAGAAGATGTCTAAACACCAAATGGGAGACAAAAGAAACATACCTATTATAGTCTCGTAATTTTTCCTACTTGATTTATAAAGTTTTTTGCTATGACCTATGGTTTTGAGCCCTATATGTATTATATTTCTTCTAATGATCTCTTGAAGGTTTATTAACTAATTCCATGTTTATAGAGAACTTTCTTGATTTTTTAGATTTTCCAAATATCTTAAAGTGATTAGCGAAATTTCTCCAACTCTACATGGAGAAATGTTCATCGATATTGAAATTACGAACCATGGGTACAAGAGGCGTATGCAGAGATTAGTGAAATTTCTCCAACTCTACATGGAGAAATGTTCATCGATATTGAAATTACGAACCATGGGTACAAGAGGCGTATGCCTTGTACGCCTTTTGCACGAGGCTGCTAGATGTGTATGCCTCATGTGCCTCACAAACACCTCATACAAAAGGACAGAAAAAAAAGGAAAAAAAAGAAAGAAATAAGAAAAGGAAGGAAGGGAAAGAAAAAGAAGAAAAATGGGAAAAGAAAAAAAGAAAAGGGAAGGAAAAAGAACGGGAAAAAAGTTTGGGTCGGGGGAGGAACCCCCAGACCCCCTTTGGCCTAGACCCCCCACTCCCTTTTCAATGCACCCCCAATTTAGTTTTTTTTTTTTTTTTTTTGTGTGTGTGTGTGTGTGTGTGTGTGCTGGGGGCCCTTTCAGCTAGTGTTATGTATCTTCGTTCTTCTTTATAAAATATCTTTATTAAAAAAGAGAAAGATGGGATTCTCCTTCCTTTTCTTCATCCTCATCCCCCTCCTCTTAAGGAGGCTTACGCCTCTTACGTTCTGAACTACATCTCACGTAGTGGAATGCCTCGCATCATTCCTCTTCATTTTAAAACATTGATACATAGTATATAATAGATTGTATTTATGCATAGTAATAAGATGCAACCATGCTAATGTTATTATAATAGGATGCCTGCCCTGTAAATTTTGTCACATAGGTGGGCACCTAGGTGACACCTTGACAACCATGCTCATTAAAGAGAGACAAGATTTTGTCGTGTTTTATTGTTAGACCCAATAACTCTCCTATGCTCTCCTCTTCTCTTCTCCTTATTCATTATTCATGACAAGAGCAACTGGTGCAGGGATTTGAAGAAATTTGATTCCTTCCTAAATGGTGGCTTTCCCTTCCCCATATACCTGCATCGACTATGCATCTCCAAAGGATTCAATGGAGTATGCATAAATGTAGGTCTAATTCGAGACCTTAAGAGCATGCTAGCGTCATGGGCCTTGTTCATCATGGATCCCTTAAATCACAAAATGGCAACATGTAAAACATGAAGCTGTTTTTGCAAAAATAGAAGGTTTTGTTCTTTTTGTTATTCAGGGTTTATGACCAAGCCTGGGATGCTAAGATAAATAGGTGACTAGTTCATGAGTTGGTGCTGGGAATTAAATGTGTTTATGCATTGTTAGGTTCAAATAAATTGATCAAAAAATTGTTAGGTTCAAATAAGGTCCAAAAACTCGTTTTTGACTAGGGAATACATTTTTTTTGGTCTTGTTGGAAGGCACAAATTAAGACGCTATTAATTGCAATTCTTCTCATTTGTATCACTTATTTAAGATTTCATTATTTTTTATTGTTGTTGGAAGGCACAAATTAAGATGTTATTTATTGTTCTTTCTTATGCCTTTAGTAGAACTTTGTAGTCATTGATCCACAAAAAGTTAATAAAGAAAAAATGAAAGGGAAATGTTTGTTTTTGTTTTTCTTTTTGTCCTTTTTGTGTTTCAAACTTTTGCCATTTTGGTTTACAATGGCTTTTTATGTTGTGTCCTTTTGTATATCTTCACTTCTTCAGTAGTGTTTCCATGAAGCCGTCAAACCTGTTAATTTAACAATGAGTTCATTGAAGGCTAAACAACAATGGATCTTTGTATTCTAAACATGACAAAACATAACTAGAGGTATATTATTTGAAGCTGTAATGACACTCCTTATTGAATAGAAAATGCATAAGAATAAGGTGGGGGGGGGGGTTGGAATATATAAGAATGATGCTCCACTTTATATAACAGAACAAGGTAGATGAATAGATATAATCAGATTACTAAAGGGGGTGCAAAAAAACTGGGATTTTTCAGTTGTTTCCACTGAATCCTCTGAACTAACTGATCCTGTGTTGGGTATCAGTTGGACAAGTTTTGATAAAAGCATTCATTTAACCAACTGAACATTCATTGACCTAACTGGAGATTCAAGAAGAATGTCATCTTCTCTTGTGAATCCTCAACATCTGGATCTTAACTATTTTTCAGGAATTGAAAGTTTTTAATCAGGGCACCCCAGCTTACTTTTGCAGTTTTGCTTGGGTAGTGATGTCTTTGCGGAGAATTCTGTCAACTGTTAAGGTACTAAATATTGAAAACCAGGGAACTCCATTGTTCATTTAATCGGGTCAGGCAGGTTCAGCAGCCTTTCCTGTGGGTCTTGTGCTTTTAACTCATGTCTGGGTCAGTTCAGATCCAACTGCCTATATTTATGGCTTTGTTTTTCAAAACAAGAACAGTTGCCACATCAGCAAAAACAATATGATTTTGCTGATATGGCAGTTGTTTTTGCTTTGAAATACAAAATCATACATATTGACATAGACTCCCTAATAAGTTGTCTTTGATGTCCTCAGACTTCTTAAATTAAATCCCTCCCATGATGCATTATTTCCACAGAATCTCCTGTTTCTTATGTGAGGTTAGTTTATGGTTTCATAACATGTGCGCACTCCACTAGGTCTATGGTTTGGAATCATGGCTTATCATAAGATATTATGGTAATAGTGTTGAAAAGTGTTACTGCTCAGTTACACGAGTAGTCTATCATTCTGCTATCCTTCAGCTGCTTTGCTCAACTTCAGATTTTTCACTGGCAGTCTGGGATATTTTCTAAAATAATTAGAAATTTTCTGATTGCTTGTTTTGTTCTTAAATCCTGTGTTTTCTTATGCCTGGATTAGATATGATGAAATCCATATGGTCTAGGAATTTGTATCAGGCAATTTACTTGGGTAGAGTGTGAACTTGTATTGCATTAAAAAGGAGTAACCAGGGTTGTTTTAATTAAAAGCCATATTTCAGTGACTTTGTTTCTAGTTTATATAGACAAGTGGAAGGTCAAAGGTTGTTTGTGGTACTAGTTGTGGACAGAAAAGATAGGAAGATTAGTTTATATAGTTCTTCTGTATGTTTTGAAGCCTCTTTCAGAAGCGGGGTATCTGCTTTATGTAGCAATAGTCTTTTCTCTGAATGAAGTACTTTTGCAAAGACTCTGCACACATACTTCCTAGCTACAAATTAGATTCATTATATTGGTATTTGTTTGGTAAAACAATTTTTGTAGTTTTAGAAATGTGATAGTTTTGTTCCTTGTGGTTGATGGATAATTTATGCATATGTGTATGTTGAAGCCAGGTTAAAGGTCTTCTGTTCAAGGTATGAGTGTGTTTTTGACTGAATCTTTGTTGTTTACAGGATCACTTGGCATTAATGATGGAGCTTCTTGGAATGATGCCACGCAAGGTAAACAGATTATGTCACACTCTGCACCTCAGTTTTGAATGTTTCATGACTTTAAATTTGTCAACAAAATTCCCTTTCAGATTGCGTTAGGTGGCCGGTATTCCCGAGACTTCTTCAACAGGTATGGGGACTTAAGGCACATTCGCCGGTTACGTTTCTGGCCCCTTAATAAGGTGCTTATGGAGAAATATGAATTCAGTGAGCAAGATGCAAATGGCATGGCAGATTTCCTGGTCCGCATACTGGATTTTGTCCCTGAGAAGCGGCCAACAGCAGGACAATGCCTTACTCATCCTTGGATTAGTGCAGGACCTCGGCTTCTTAAACCTTCTTTGCCCTCTGTTCAAACTGAGGCTGTGGATGATGGTATCTGTGAGAAGAAAAAGAGGGAGAAGGATGAGAGAGAGGCAATGGAGGCGGGTGTGGGGAATATTGCAATTGATGTAGCTTCCAAGTCAGCTAAAGATCCTCAACCTAGCAGTAAACCCATAAAAACAGCTGTTATTAATTCTTCCAGGTAGCAGCACTATGGCATGGTGCTCTTCCTATGCAACCTTCTTCCACAGAGGTTTAGCCACATCAGTTTGTGTTTAAGTGAGGAATGATCACTTATTGATTTAATATCTTAACTGAGTATTATAGAGTGGGGTTGGGTCCAAGTGCAGGTGAACTGAAGGAAGGTTTCTTACCAGGTGGGGTTTCAGATCAAAGATTGCTCCAATTTTCTCAAGGAACATTGTAATTGGGATAGTGTTCAGCTTCCCTCCATGTACAACATTTGCACTTTGGCCTTTGTTGTACAGCTTCATTGGCTTTTCTTTATACTTTGGAGGGATTCATGCATCACAAATCATCCCTGGAAATACATAATATTTTTGCATTCTTTTAGAGTTATTTTCCTATATGCTCGTTTATGTTGGGGGCCAAGTTTTATCAATTATGATCAAAATTCTTGATTGAAAAAAAAATTGAAATGTTGATGGTTTGGTGAGATCCCCAGGTTTCCTTAGAACTTTCTTGATAGGTTCAGACTGCATGGAAATTAATGGTCCGGAGGGATTTCTGACTTCTGAGTATATGGAGTTTACTGCGGATAATTTATGAACAATACTGCTATTCTTTATTACATAATAATTCCACCTAAGAAGATTGATTCCTTGTGGCTCACTTGGAGGGGTTTCTGATTGAATGCAAGTGGAGTGGACAGTGGACCCAAGGGCCATGGCAACTTACAAACAGGAAAGTAACATCAGTCATCACTCATCAGCAAACTAGAGATAAGAGAGTTCTCTATTTCTCTTGATCAGTTGTCAGACCGGAATCCGGTTGAGGCAAAATCAGAAAGCTCACTGAGTCGACCGTCTATTGGTTTAACATGGAATTTAATTGTTTATCAGGTAACTCTTGAAAACGTTCAGGCAATCGGGACTCAGCAAGTTTACTGGGTCAGTGGCTAACCGGTTCAACCATCTCCACATCTGACAGTAATTGTCCTGACCCAGATATCATGTTGATATATGTTCCTGTTTGGGCTCCACGCAGCAGATAAAAGCACTTTGGTGGTAAAAAGGATCGCTTTGAGTCTTTGACTTCTCAGAAGTAGACCGGATCTCCTCCCAACGGAAATCTTTCCAACTTGGTCCAATTTGATCTATATCCACGGATCTCAAACGTGTTTTGTACCGGATCGGATTGGCTGCCCACAAAGCGTGCCCCACGGCGGGGATGTGCTGTGGGGTGGCCCCATGTGAGGCGGAGAGATGTGAACTAATCTCGTGCTTGTCATGGGGAGATACTCCCAATGCACGGATGGGATGGACTGTGGGGCGTACTTTGTGGGCAGATGATCTCGTCTGGTTTTGTACATTGATGGGATGTGATTTGAGTTGGAATCTCCTAGCAAAAACGGTCTCAACACGGTTATAATTTCTTAAATTATATCTGTCTGCGTATCTCACCATAAAAAACGAGACCCACCATGCATGAGATGTGTGGACATAGGTCATGCTGGAATGTGTTGGGACAGTTTTTTGTGGAAGGAGATCCTGAGTCGTGCTTGAAATGTGTGGGCATAAATCATGTTGGAATGTGTTGGGAAGGGATTTTGTGTTAGAGAGGAGATCCAAACTCCATTCAACCATTACTCATCTCAGGATCATAGAACTGGACAAATCTCTAAAAACGGGATTGGGTTTACTAATTTTGGTCGAATATATTAAGGGGCTGTTCGATAAGTGATAACAGCTGAAATGACTTAACTGACAAGCTTATTGCTTTGTCTTTTTAAGAAGCTAAGGAAGTTGTAGGCTCCTTAATTGCTGAAGCTCAAAAAGTTGTATATATAGATAATAATAGCATTGAATACTTTATTATTTAACCATTTTATCCGCTAAAAACAAAGTAATAAATGTTTTGGTTCAGCAAATTCAGCCATTATCAAACAGCCCCTATATATATTTCTCATGGCTTCCCTGTCAAATTATTATGTTAAAGGCCTGTCAGTTATAATGGAATCTCATTGGCTCAGTCGTAAGAGGGTTGGTTCTGGTTCTACTTATGGACCTTATGAGGTTTTGGTTAGGAATGGGTCTGGTGTTTTCTTATTGGTTTGGGGTCATGTTCGACCCTAACCCGACCCAACCCAACCTATGACATCTTATTAAAATAAAAAAAGGTAAATTGCTGAAATCTTCCCTGAAGTTTTTGATTGTTGCTGAAACCTCCTCTGAAATATGATAATTGCAATTACCTCCCCTGAACTTTATGACATAGTTGCAAGTAGACCCCTTTATTTGAATCCTCTAAAAAGAGGGATGAAATTTTCCAAAATACCCATGTGGTGCTTTTGACCTAAATGCTTATTTTTTCAAATTTTCTCTTCATATGAATGGCAACCCCAAACCTTTCCAATAATTTTTTGAAAATGATTTACTTTTTAAAATTTGTGCTTTATATCAATTGCTCAAAGGTAAAGCTGCATTTTTAAATTCTCATTTTTTTATTGTTTATAAAGTTTGTATTGTTTTTCTGTAGAAACCAGCCTCAATAGTAAATGCATGGGTATTTTGGACATTTTTATGCCTCTTGTTAGCAAATTCTAACAAAGGGGGTCTACTTACAACTGTGTCATAAAGTTAAGGGGAAGTAATTGTAATTGCCAAACTTTATGGGAGGTTTCAGCAATTTATCCTAAAAAGCATGACTAAGACTTTCTCGGACATGTAAGATTTGATCATCTTAAGAAAGAATTTGGATTTGCTCCAGAGTGTACCTCACACCAACCTCATATTACATCACAGCCATGCATTGGAACATCTTCCCATGAATGAGAAAATCAAGTATGGGAGATGTTCTCAATGCACAGCTGAAAGAGCTATGAGGTTAGTGTGAGGTGCGCTCTATGAGGAACAGATCTGGTTTCCCGAAGCACAAAACAAACCATGCAATGGTGAGCAATATGGGTACAAATTCGGTTTGTCTAACCTAACCTCAACAAAGTAGAGTTTGATTGGACTGAAGCCTTGGCCAACTTGCCCAGAGTTTGGATTTCTTACTCACAGAATGGTCCTCACACCCACCTCACAGCACTTGTAGCAGTTCATTGGGAACATCTTCCCACTCACAGAATGGTCCTAACCAAACCACACTTGTATATTTAAAATATTATTATATTTTGATGTCATGTATCATTTTCATAAAACATGATTGCATGAACACATTAGGAGCACACATTTGCGATCACGGTTGCAAAACTCTCGTGACCCCAATAAGACCTAATTAACATGCTAGCCAAGGAAAAATACATTGAGAACATTAAAAATTATGGTATACTCCCATCTCACAAATTTTATATATTTTTTTTTAAATCAATAATTTGCCCTTAACAACATTATATAAAATGTTTTCTTTTTTTTTCTTTTTTTGCATGTGTTAATTTCTAAATCTGGTATCGGTTTGGGTTGAGAGAGAGAGATCATAGTGGTCTTAGTATAGTCTGAGTGGATCAATTAGGAGCAGTCTGCCGGTCCAAGTCATCCATGAACTCAAGTTGGAGCACTCACATCTCATATGAATGTCATGGCATTTTTGCTCAGCTGTATGTAATGTCAAGATCATTCAATGCTACTTCTGTTTCAACGTAAAATGGATGGAAGATTTTTTAGGGCAGAAATCTTTGAGCTCTTACTTTTGACACACCAAAACATGTTATTACACCAAAGCAGATATAACAGTCGAAATATTTCATTCTGACTAATTGAAAAACTTGAGAATAAGGTTCTGTCACCTAGGGGTGTCAATGGACTGATTTTGGATTGGACTCCATCAAAATCAAAATCAATTTGGACAGACCAATAAGACATTAGATTGGACCTGGTCCATCTGTAATGAATTTATATTGGGTTGGATTGGATTGAGTCAATATCTGGTCCATTGATAGAAGATAAGAACACAGGTATCAATAGATCAGGTTTGAGTTGGAACCAATCTAATTAACATGAATTTAAACAGATTAGACAGTCTAGACATTGAACTGAACCGATTCAAAATGGTCCAAAATATTCATTAGACTGGAGTAAATCAGATCCATTTGTAATGGACTCACATTAGACTGAATCAGATTGGACCAAATCCAGTCCAATTGACACCCCTGTCATACTATCTTATCTCTACATACCAAACAAACAGTCCAGAGGACTTTGGAGTCTATCTACCACTCCACATGCAAACCAACTGTATGTAGTTGAGTTGCTGACAGCTGACTGCTAGTTCGAAACTCAAATTGCTCAAATAAATTTCCAGACATATCATGTCAAAACAAAAAAGATCAGATAAAAAAAAGCAAGATTGTCACTTATTACAGGGATCGGAATGCATGCTATCATGTCAGCCATTAAGGCCTGGTTTGTTTGCAGTGCAGCTTCATTTGCACTGGTATAAGTATGGAAGTGCAAATGTTTTTGAGTGCAATTTTTTTATTTGTTTTTGTTTTATCCTTTGCCTTATTTTGTTTCCTTTAAATTGCAAATTAGGCACACTTGGGGAAGAGTATAAATACAAATATCATACAAGGTTTTGCACTGTATATGTATATATTTGTATTTGTACTCTTTCCAAACTGAGCCTTATGTAAAATAAAATTAACCTGAAGCAAAGTAAAATCTGAAGAAAAAATATGCAATTTTCTTTTATTTGCACTCTCATTGTGTTGTTACTAATGCAAATAAAATTACATAGAAGTCAAACAGAACCTAAGAGGAAAAAAAACTCGACAAAGTGTTAGAAACAATTGAATGCAATAACAAGAGCTTAACAAAATGGACTGAATGACTTGCCTATTTTATTGAAACTGAACTTGGCTTTTATAGCCATTTACAACTCTAACAGAAAGGATAAAAGCAGCACACTTTAGCCTTATCTTAGCTACGTGATTAACAAAGCAAAGAAATAGGTCAAATAATAACATCCCTAAAAACTAGGATTTATTGAAACGGAAAACAAACTAAGTAAAACACTAACAAAAAAATCTGACTCCAACCAACGACCTCTTCATGCCCTCCCTTAAACTAACTGCAGACTGCAATTAGTTTACATCAATAGCTTCACACACTCCCATCCCTGAACGCATGTGCGAGAGAGAGAACTAACCATATGGCATGTGAGAGAGAGAGAGAGAACTAACCATATGGCATGTGAAAGAGAGAGAGAGAACTAACCATATGGCATGTGCAAGAAAGAGAGAGAGAGAGAGAACTAACCATATGGCATGTGCTTTATAAATGCAACCTACTAGACAGAGGAGAGAGAAAGTATTTTGGTTGAATGGGGGATAGAGGGAGAGAAATGTAGAAGGAAGAAATAAGAAAAAAAATAGATATCCATACCTAAGGGAGAGAAGTGTATAAAGAATGCCGGGAGAGACAATGATACTATTATAAAAAAATAGGAATTATTTATCAAAGTTTTTTAACTTTGTCTTGACTAAAATACCTCTCTTTTTAAACTTAATTTCTCTCTCTCTCTTATGAGAACAGAAATTATAATTTGGATATTGTGGGTTAGCTATTTTTCCTCACATCCAGAAAAAAATATAAGCAAAGAAAAATGAGAGCATTCTCGATGGGTGTGGTCCAACATGGCCAAAGGGCTGGTCATGTGGTAGATCATGACTGCCTTGAAAGATCAGGGCCAAATATCCCAACCTTCAATTGTTAGGGGAATTCACCTCTCTACTTTTACCCATTTGTTATTCATCAATTTCTATCTGTCTAAACTCTAAACTATACATCAAATAATAATAATAATAATAAATAAATAAATAAATAAAAGAGTTATATCAAGCTTTGGATAATTCATCAACCTCCTATTGTACCCAAAAGTGGCCTATTCAAAATTCCAATTGTAGAATTAATTAATAATTCAAGTATTCAACTATTTGGGCCCACTGTTGTACCGGAGAGTGAGAGTCAGATCGTGAAACATCAGGAACCTATGGCCTTTGTCCGTGTAGGTTGAATTGGTGGTTTTCACGTAGGGCCTGAATGGGTTAAACTAGCAATAGCAAAACTGGGACCCATGGAGCATTCCGGTTTCTTGTCTGGTTCCAGCCTTCCAACATTGATTAGGACAATCATTTATTATCATCGGTCCTCTATTTTTATTGTATTAATCGTGGTTTTTAAAACCGATCCGGTGATCGAACTAGTCAGGGTCTGGTTATTGGGTCGAACAGTCTGACTGTTTGAGTCAAGTGCTTAGCCCGTTCTAACAAAAAAATTCAAAAAAATTAAAAAAAAAAGGCTAAAAACGTTCGAACGGTTAACCGTCCAGTTCAGTGGTTTGCTGATCAAAATCAACGATTTTGGGGGGAAATCCGGTTTTTGGGGAAAATAGAACCAGTCACCTGATCAGTTCTTGATTTTTTCGGTCCGTCTGTCTGGTCTGGTCCGGTTTTGAAAACCATGGTATTAATAACTATATAATGAGTGTCCTGCTAGGGATGACAATTTTCCCCGTCCCTATCGGTTATTCGGTCTAATCCTATCGAGTCGGGATGAAGATTGCCTTGGCAGGGATGGGGTGGGATTGATAGTGATACCCAACTGGGGACAGGGATGGAGATGGGGAGTGAATTCTCCACCCGCCCCAATCCCAATTATTTATATTAAATATATATATATATATATATATATATAATATTATATATACTATCTATGATATTATTTATATTATATATATATCTAAATATATTTAAAACATTTTTATATTTAAAAGAAATCCTTATTTTTAAATAAACCTATTTTCTAAAAATAATTTTAATTTAAAAATTTTGGGGATTGAGATCCCTGATAAAAAACTTGTCTTCGTTAGGGACAACGGTGAAGAGTCATTTTTATCCCAGAGGAGATCGGGGTTGAGGACAGTGTCTGAGAATTTTGTTTTACACATACCCCCAGTGTGAGAATTTTTTCGATATAAACTTTTTTATTTAATTCAAGAAATGAAGTTAAATTTTATTTGTAAACAATAACCCTTTTATGAATCCCATATAATCAGAAATGAGGATTTTTTTTTATGGCTATGTATTAAAATATAAACTTTTTTATTTAATAGTGAAAGACAGAAAGAGCTTTGGCCAATCAACACCCCTCTCCCCAAACTGATTTGATGAATACCGATTGACTGGTTATTATATATCAGGTGGGTGCTGACCGAATCGTGGTGTCAATGTCATTAATAAATGAAGGCAAACGTCCAAGGTCCATCTTATCTCTCATGTCCCAAACAATTAACTAGGGGGCACAGATCAGGTGGCTATGATGGCTGGACCAATCCAATCAAGCCAACAACTTGACCTGTCTCAGGCTTTCAGCTTATCCTCATGTGCTTATCCTCATGTGGCTATCGGCATCAAGTAATACCTCAAATTTCTTTCATTCTTTGCTGTATTTGTAGGTCTTGGACCAGCTTGGAGCCCAAAGCCTTTTACAGTGTCTCTTCTATATATAATTGACCAAACGCCAAGCACTCTCAGTCTTGAAGACAACTTTTCGTTTTCCTTTTACTGAAAGACTCATGATTCAAGGCAAACAAGAAACACAAGACAAAAAGGGTGTCTGTCCACAAAAAAATTGATCATATAGCAGCCAGATATAGACCCAAGCCAGCCACAGAAATTGCAGAAGATAGATATTTTTCTAAGAAATATTAATTACTTGAACCCTTTACTAATTGAACGTGATGAATGGTGTTAACCAGTAGCTAACAACACATCACAATTAAGATGTACAAATGGAAGTGGTGTTAACAAGCAGTTAACACACATCAAGATGAAGAAATAGTGAAATACAAATAGAATTGGTGTTAACAAGCAGTTAACACACATCACGGACAGCCACAATAAAACACAGCTTTATTTATTTCTTGTTTTCAACTCTTCATGGAATGACAGCACAGTTGGGTTGGTCAATTAGGTATTGGCCAACACATCCTCTGTACTGCTTTTGACAGAATTTAAGCTATATTATCTTCCTCTCCTTCCATTTCTCCTTTCTGTTACACCCTCTTTCTTGCTGTAATCTCTGTTGTTCAGACAGTAATCAACTGTCACAGAAGCCCAGGAACCCCATGTATTCATGGTTGTGTATCATGCGGATGCTCTTATCGATGCCCACAACGCCTGCCAAACGTGTATATATATATATATATATATATATATATAAATTAGCTCTGATTATACTCCAGAATGATATGGGTTGTGTAGTTGAATTGAAAATGAAGTTACCCATTGTTAGAGCGCTTGCAAAGATGACAGCTGATAGAATGAAGACTATGATGGAAGCTCTCCCCAAAAACGTAATCAACTTCCTAATGAAGAACTGACCCCAGAATCCAGCCACCATAGACACTGACATAAGATACAAAGCTGCAAATACAAAGTGATTGTCAACAAAGATGAGTATACTTGAGCAGAAACCTCAGCCAGACAACTGATCATGGGATTTATAGAGTCTAGTCCTGTTGTTTTGTTTGCTAAACAAGAACAGGAGAGATGGTGGTTACTGTGATTACTGAAAGAAAATTGAAGGAGAGGGAATGACAGAGGGACCTACCATAAGGGATAGGGAATCTCTTGAGGAAGTAGAACTCCACGACAGACAGAGATGATGAGAACATCATGACAAATGTTGCTGTGGCGCTTGCTACCTACAAATGAAGCACCAAATCTCTGCTTAATTGTGTATACCACAGAAAGTACTCAACCGATAAAACAGATACTTCCAACATTAGAACAATGCAGAGGGCTGTGCTAGTTAGGATCTTTAAGGGGTGTATATTTTGTCAAAGTGTACTGATTATAAGGAGATGGACTGTGGTTGTAGGACAATCCGGAGACCCCTCAATAAAATTTGAATATGCCAGTGTTTGAAAGGAAAAACAAAACATCACATCTTTTGCTGTTTGGTTTAAAACACTGACGATTTCTTTTCTGGGTCGCATAGAGTGGTTTTAGCTTTGGCAATTTCTAGGAAAGCTAACATTCAGGAGAGTTCTTTTTAGTGGGAAGTGTGAACCCATCAGCAAAAGAGAGAGTGAAGCCCATTTCTCGATTTCAAAAAGTCAATGGTTGTTTTCTGAATCAGGGGAACATTCACAACTTAATCTGTGAGATTTCAAACTGATGAGGAGAAAGATCATGGACTGGAGAACGGGTTTGTACTGATTATGAATGATTCCAATCTTAAACACACACACACAAAAAAAAACACGATTGAAAAGGGGAATTATTTATGCTGGGCAACACCCCCTCCAACCTCATATGCTCCCCTCCTTCAAATCCAGTAAGCCCTAGTTCAGAAGTTTGAATTAAGCTGATAGCCAGTGGGCGAGAATAACTTAATGGGCGTGAGAGTAACTCTTTTAGTTAGATTTTGGTTCTGTTTAAATTGCTGAATCAGCTTCTTATATCCAAGATTCAAAGTATAGATACACTCCGATATGCAACATGGTGGAAGGGGTACACTTTGAACCTTAGGCTGAGTTTGGAAGGAGTACAAATGCAAATATGTAGAGTGCAAAACCTTATATTTTGTATTATTTTATATGTATTTACACTGTATATATTTGCATTTGTACTTTTTTTCAAACTTAGGCTTATTGATTCTTCTCTAGGAAAAAAAGTGGGAGTACCTTCAAGAAGGAACCTTTCCTCTTCTCAGCCATTTCAGGTTAAGAAAATGTGAAAGCTCATTTCTCTCTATAAAAGCGGTGCATTCTGAGATGTGAAGTGGGAGAGAAGAGATGTCATAATTGGGGTGTGCATGCACTTTTTTTTTAGTTATTATTTTTCAAAGTTGGGGGGGTCAATTCTAGGCCTGCCTACCCCCTAAAATGGGTCAATAGGTCAGGGAACCCAGATTTCCTATTCACTTTTTCTACCCACACTCTATCATTGCAGCCACACATCTCACAATTCAAGATGGCGATGTGTGGCTGCAATTCATGGCGGGTAGAGAGAAGTGGGTAGGAAATCCGGTTTGATAGGTTGGGGGGACGATACTATGCAAAATTTTGATTCTTGCTTCTATCAAGTTCTGAGTTTTCCTGAAATAAGGGTAACTTATGAAACACTTAGGAAGATATTAGTCAGGCAATCAGGCCTCAAGGGAAAAGGGTCACTCAATATATTATAAATACTGTTCTTTTGTTCTGTCCCTCCCTGGACCCGGCATTGGCGGGAGCCTCCTGCACTGGGCTGCCCTTTACTTTGTTTCTAAAGCGTCACATTTTTTATTGAAGTATTGTTAATTTAGTCAACATTTTCATGAAATTATTATTTCTCTAAACCCCTTATTGTTTTAATTGCACATGATGAACCTCTCATATTAGATTCAGTGAAATGACCCCATGATTAAGAAATAAGAATAGTCATTGATCCAAACCTGGGGAATGACTCCAATCTCTAAGAGGAGAGGCCCCAATATGAATCCACCACCAGAACCGAGCAGGCCACCGACAGTTCCTCCCAAGACGCCACAGAGCGCGCAGAAGGCAAGGTGCAGCCCCGTCCAGTCGATGGAGGCCTCGCAAACTGCTTCGAAGTTGCCAGCCATCCTCCTTTCCTTGCTCATTTTGTACAGTTTCCTCACTTCATATCCAAACACGGCAAACGCGACGGGAAACTAAGGCAAGAGCACAGTCATCCTCTTAAGACACAAACAAAGCAATAGAGAATAGAATAGTCTCTGGTTCATTAGTCGAACAATTGGCCTACCTCTAGCACATTCAGCACCCAATACCATGCACCGCAAACCGTTGCACCATTCTGGACTCCAGAATCAAGAATACAAAACGGTCATTCAGATAAATGGGTGGGTGGAGAGAGAGAGAGAGAGAGAGAGAGAGAGGGACAATGCCTTGAGGACTTGAAGAAGTATAAATGAAAACCAGACAAGCAAGAGCACTAGAACCATTTTCCATCTCAAGTTGAAGCGTAGTGTTTGCTGAAAGTAAGGAGCAAATTAAGGAAAATAAGACCAACTTAGTCTTTCAAATAGGTAAGAGGATCAGAAGACAGAAAAAGAAGAAGAATGGGTGGATTGCTCACCAATTTGGTCTTCTCTACTTGAGGGATCAGAGGCTCATACTCTGCATCTATCAGAACTGCCACGCGGAGATGCGAGCAAATTTCAATAAGCCTAGATCTAAAAGAAAGAGAATTTTATAATAAGTCGAGTTCTTTTAGTGTCTTACCATCGTCCTGAGAGTTCACTAGAGCTTCTTGTTGCTTCTTCTGTTCCTTCTGTTTGACGTTTTTCCCAGAAACAATGGAAACTTTTAATAACCACCGGCACTTATACAATTCCTTGTTTGATTTGTTCTAACGTTACAAACTCACCTTCAAAATCGTCTCTTGCTTCCACATCTCGATTGCTTTGAAGAAAGACCTCGATGATGTCCCTAATTGTTATTAAAGAATGCTCTCAGTGACATGTGTCAGCTTAATAGGATTGAGAAACAGAGACCCATTGAAAAGTATGAATTATCAGCTTATTATAACATCTAATGAGTACTGGGGATCTGGGTTTCTTGATAATATATTGAACAATTAAATAGAGAATGTATTAAACAAATGGGGTTAAAAAAATTTGGCGTACCCAAGAAGAGAATGATGATGAGAACAGTGATGAGCCAGTAAGGGAAGACAACACTGAGTGCGACTCCAATGGTGATTCCAAGCATGAGCATAGGCTGGAAGAGAAGGGCTAGATCATAGTCAATTATGGGCACGTCCTTTGTTGGATGAGATACCCTTAGATTGTACCAAACGGACGAGGCTGATGCACCCATTATCATACCTGAAGCAGCAGTACCACACCCATCTTTATGTCAAAAACAAAAAACAGTCATAGATAGAAACTATTACTATATTAATCTCTCTCTGCCTTTTTACTTTTCATTATATACTATTTTGTTCAAGCAAAGTGAATTGGCTTTGGATTCTACAGTTGGCTTTCCATTTGAAAAAGTTAGCTTTTCTGATGTAGTAACAAATGGAATCAGCTTCTCTTGAGATGAAAACAAAGTAAAAAGCAGAGGAAGTTCAGAGAGATAGCGGAACAGATGGGTTACATTTGGAAAGAGCAGCAGCGGATTTTGTGTCGAATCCAACGATCAAGTTGAGCATGGGGACGAAGATCCCTCCACCTCCAACGCCACCCACCGTTCCAAAGCCCGAACCCAGAAATCCAATCACCGTCGCCACTACAGTTCTCCAGTTGAATTCTAAGTTCTGCGAAACCCAAGTACCAAAAAATAAAAAAGAAAAAAATGTTGAAACGCTCTGATCAATAGAAAGAGAGAAGAAGCAAGTAGTCAAGAGAGAAAGAGACGTACAGGCCAAACTTTGGTGCTGTCGCCGAATGCATTATCTGGGTATTGCGTAATAGTTGAGTTTAGAGAGGAGAGACGAGGTGGGTAGTGGTGGACATTGGAGTCGGAAACGAAGAACGTCGATAGAACTGCAACAGAGAATGCAGAAAGCAGATACAATACGAATCCTTTCGTCGCCATGGATGCCTGCCTTTGCTCAACCACCTCACTTGACAGAAACAATAGATCTACAAAGAAAGGCTAAAAGATTCAAATAATAAAATAAAAGGAAGGAGGTGTTTCGAAGCAGGTGAGACTCCAAAATGGCCTCTTCTCCGCAGAGAATGCAGCAGCAGCAGCAGCCCGACTCACATTTATCTCTTAAGAGAGAGAGAGAGAGAGAGAGAGAGGAACTTGCCAGATCAGACAAACACCACAGACATCTCATGGCGTTAAGGCATATGAATGTGCCACCTACCCGTCAAAAAACAGGGACTCGGGGAGAAAGAAGAGTACCACAAGACTTTTCTTACCGGAGTGGAGCCCACTAGACGATATCAGTCCATTCAACTGCGTGGGACCCATCGTTTGTATGGCGGATGATTCAAAAGGAGCCAAGAAAAACGTTTTTTTGTTTTATCAAATTTATTTCTAATTGATGGATGGCCGTCTTAATTGAATTAATAGGGAAGTTACTAGTTAGAAAGAGAATGTAAATCAATTAGTATTATATTCCACAGAGATAGATCTATTGCCACGTGGGGCATGTGAAAAGGAGGGTGGCCATTTTCATACACAATTCCGTGTATAACCACGACGCCAATTCAATTCTGCCTACAAGGCTACAATCCGCCAACCTGACACTGGTAGGCAATTTCGCTTCCATTGGATCACAGACACGTGGGCTCTAGTGGTTATGCAGTGTTAACTTTTTATCACTCTGTATGGCCCACGTGGACACGTGTATGACTGTACACATGGCAGACTTGTCAAGGGCGTGTTCAACAATGTGAGATTGTGAACTGTACAAATTGTTTTTGTTTGAGAAACAGTGTTGATGGAGCGCAATTCGGCTGGTCCTAGCTGTTAATGATTCTGCCTCTGGGCGGAGATACAGGGAATCTGAAACGGAGAAGATGAGGAAGCTCCGGGGGGAACCCGGTATGAATGCTCCGAAGCTCAAGTTAGAATTCTTTCAAAGGCAGGACAAAACCAGATGGCGCAATGTTCACATACCTTGTCCTCGGGGGTGGGGAGCCTTTTATAACCACCTCGCGCACTCACTTCTAAGCTTCTGTCAGGTCGGGTATGATTACCCCTGGGCCCCTGTCAGTTCGGGTGTCATCCCTTCTGCTGGACAGAACCGCCACTGCTCTCTTTGTCGGAGCCGTCTC